TTGCTACAGAGACCAGACTGGCCTCAATTCCGCATAGATCCACCCTCCTCTGCCCCCTAAATGCTGAGATTAAAGGCATGCGCACCACTCTTGGAAGTCAAGCCAGGAGATCAAGCCTTTTGATTGCATAGTTCTTACAGGATTCTGAAAGGTCAGCCCCATTGTTCCATAAGTTATATTTGATTTGAAGTGTATGTCCTTTTCATGCAAGGACCACATTTATAACCTTTATTGTTATAGGCATGGTGCCTGACATATATAGATCTTTAGTGAGTGAATAAATTCATATCATCCCACTAAGGGAGAAAAATCCAACAGAATTTGAAGTAGAGTAGGTAACTATATTCAAGGGCTATTTCTGTCATTAATAATGCGTGATCTTAGACTAGCGACCATTCCTGTCTTTAAAGTTTCTTCATCTGGTAAATGTGGTAAATTGAAATAGATGATCTGAATGTTCCTTCCATTTCCAGCAACTTAAAAGTCTCTAATTACAATTAAAGAGCAAAAACATGACCGAAAGAACAGTGGTCAGTATTACCACACAGAACAATGCCACAAGGCCACATGCAGGTGCATCCTGCCCCCAACTACTGCAGCATGATTCGATAGGTCTGTTCTACCAACCCAGAGAGCAGTGCAGATCTCACCACACCACAATCATGTCAGGGTCTAAACACTCCCCGGGTCTTCCAGGGAACAAGACTAGAACTCGTAATCCAGTTACCTCAGGAGTGCAGTGGCAGATCTGATGAACCTTTGTCATTTCTGTATTATTTCTATGCAGATCCGTAATACTGGTTGTGTGCCTTCTGATGACATGTTGAAAAACCAATACAATTCGTATTGTGAAGCTATATTATTGTGATGAAAAACAATCCATAAAGACAAAATAAATATAATATTTTAATATTTCAATTTACTTGCTGATATTATATGAATCAATGAAGATTCTTTTCTTCCTGATGTTAAAAGTTTATCCACCATGAGTCAAGAAAAATAGTTTAAACAGTCAGATGTATCTTAATAATTTGTCTTTCAAAAGCTGTGGTTCTCGATTAGTTGGGCTTTTGCCCAGAATATGTCTATGTAAAAATATTTACAGAAATGACAATAAAGACAAACAGACATAAAGAAACAGCAACCTTAAAGTGATTAATTCTGGTGTGTGTTTTTGTTTCGGTGTACACCTCTGAATACGTGGCAAATGGTAGCAATTAAGCTGCATCAAAATTGTATCTATCTCAATCAAATCCCCAAATCTAGTTGAAACAGTACACTATCAAACAGAACACACTTTTGAAGGAAAATACTAAAAATGCCACAATTTGTAAAACTTTATGAATCTAAAGCTTTATCTTAAGGACATTGCCCAGAGTAAATCTATTTTAATTTTAAAGCATTGGTAACATGATAGTAGGTAATGTTTCTTTAATAATATTCCTCCTCCTCTTCCTCCTCCTCCCCTCCTCCTCCTCCTCTTCCTCCTCCTCCTCCTCATCTTCCTCCTCCTCCTCCTCCTCCTCCTCCTTCTCCTTCTCTTTCGTCTTCTTCCTCCCATCTTTTTTCCCTCCTCCTTTTCCCCCTCCTCCTTTTCCTCCTCCTCCTCTCCCTGTGTCTGCTGCTGCCTGGCAACTTGGCAACCTTCTGTCTGGAGAGGCAGAGTAAGAACTCAGCAACCCTGGGGCAATGGTTGCATAAATCCCTAGCAACCTCACTTTTGGGCCAACTCTCCTGCATACACCTCTCAAGTGAAACAGACTTCCAGCTCCAGCGTGCTTATACAAACCTCGTCCTCTTCCCCACTTACAACTCTGAGGTGGGTAGTGCATAAAGGGATACTACAGATAGTAAAATACCCAATAGCGCCAGCAAAACAGATTAGGAGAAAGGGTGTGCTATCACATATATGCAATGTGGCTTGAATTGGAAGTACAAACTTACCACTTACTGATAATTAATATTCACATGTTGTCTTAGACCAGAAAGGAAGAGTGATTGGTTTTACTTTGTTTAATTTGTCTCATTGAGAGATTGCATAATATTCTACAGCTTGATAAATTAATTTATTTAACTTGTCAATGTTAATAACTCTGATTAGAATGAGGAAATTATACTGAACCATAAGAACAAACAACTTTTGAGGAGTAACTCTAGTTATTTTCCCTTAACTAATAACATAGCTTATTAATGTTCTTTTTCATGAAAAGCATTTATTATGAATAAATGAAAGTATTTTATAGACTATGTTTGTGTTTCATTTTACTTAAAATCTATCTTTTTTTTTTTTTAGTCTTTTTGAGACAGGATCTCCTTGTAGCCCAGCTGTCCTGGAACTCACTATGTAGATCAGGCTGGCCTTGAACTTGCCGAGATCCGCCTGCCTCTACCTCCCAATTGCTGGGATTAAACACGTGTACCACCACTCCTGGCCCACTTATAATCTATTAAAATGAATGGACATTCAAATCCTAGGACTATATTATTTAATATCAAAGCTGAAATTTGCTCTAGATTTCTGTCTTCTACTTCTATAGGAGACCATAACCATCTCTTCACTTAAATTGGTCATTTTCAACGTATATTTGCAAGAACCACTTTATGGAATGGATTTTATGTGGGGCAGGCAATTTTATCTCATTTCATATCAACTCTGGTTTCATTTCACTTTTTGACCCAATAAATACCACTTGTTTCCTATTTAATCTGTTCATTATATATTAAGAGGAGTTGGTATACACATTCACAGGGTTGTGAATCCATGTCCTCATTCTTAAGTCTTGACTTTAATATTGTTTCTGACAAGCACCTCAGTGTAGGTGTCTGCTGACTTGAAGGCTGGTCTACACAGTGCATCTACACTCTGTCAAACTGCTGGAGAGAGTTTGTATTGCACCTAGGCTGTTATTAATCACAGGTACTTTCTCTTTCACACTAAAGATTCAGATTGTATTTTACACAAAATGGTTAATAGAAACACATCCACAGTGGAAATCAGACACAGCAAGTCACCTTCACCACACACTGAAGCTGGCTGCCTGAGAACCCACTTTTACTGTTCTGTTTTTGAACCATGTGTCATTCACCATGTACGATTACTTTTAAAGAATTCTTGTTTTGTTTTAGTGTTCTATCACAATACGTGGGCAGTACATTCTCAGCTTTCTTTCATTTACGAGAAAAAAAAAAAAGTAGGCCAAATTATCTAAAAGTGACCACATTGTTTTTGCCCTGTCTCCTGTACTGCATAGACTGAGTCTAAGTGAGCCCTGCAGACTGAGAGTGTAGTACACTTAGAATACATTATCTCCTGGGCTTTCACATCCCTGGTTCTCTTTTCCTTCTTTCCCCCTTTTCATGCTGACTGTGGCCTCCAGAGCTGCTAGCACTGCAGAGATAGATGGTAGCTGCCTCTTAGGAGCAGTAGAAGCTTGTCCTGGCTGCCTTAGCTGCCTTGCAGTGTGTAGGTGGGTCTGCTGGGAGCATGGAGGAGGAATAAGCTGATGCTTCAATGTGACTCTTGAACACTTCTCCCATCTTGCAGGGACATAGAGGAAACCAAGTCCCTCCCAACCTGTCTCCTCATTGACTGAAGGGATCATGTAGGAAGGGCATCCAATCAGTTTGAACCAGTGGATCTATACTTCATAGATTGCAAATGTCTGTTGACCCCTCGGAAACACTAATTTTTATCTTATTCAAAATTACCATTCTTTTCAACTTCATTTATTCCAAAGTTTGTAATTTTTTTTATTTGAAATTAAAAGAGTATTTTTTGTATTTGATACATTTCACTATGAATCTGCAAGTTAAAAAAATTCTAAGGGATTTGATTTGTACCAACAGGAAGGAAAAAGTCACTCACCTGCAAATCTTTGATGAGATATGATAGATCCCAAGTGATTAGATTTAGGAGACATAGCAAAAGTGAAAATTTGAATGTGAAAAACTTGGCATAAAAGGCACATTTACAATCTCAGTGAGAAAGGTGATTCTGCCACATCTCCGGCATGGCTCTGCCGGCTGTGCGCTGTGTTCTTCAGTCCAGTCTAACCATAAAGGCTTCTATTCTGGAGTGTGGAAGACGGCTGGAAGACTTTCGCTCTTGTCATCTCTAGATCAGAGTTCTGTCACATCCATCTCTCAGTTTCAGCCATCATAGCACACAACGTTTTAAAGAGCTTTCTCCTCTCCTCGAAGTATTGCTCAGCGTAGCTTTGGTTCCTATCTCACAGTTTCTCTTCTCTTCATCTCTGATTTTAAAATATTAAAACATCAGATATTTCTTTCAATTTGTTTTTTAAAATGTAACTGATTAATATCAGTGAAGAAAGTCAGTCTTCAACTATTAAGATTTTGAAATTTTAAACTGACAGCCATTTCTGAACGACAAACTAGAACCCAAGATACTGAAGTGATCATGTCGAAGACTTAAGTGGTCACAAAGCCAATTTAGCTTGAATACGTGTGCCCACATATCTGTATGTGCACTCCAAACATTGGATGTATCTGATGATTTCAGAAAGTTCTCAGACTTGCCAGTACACTATGCAGAAACTGAAAGCCAAATACAGCCACCACAAATCCACCTCAAAAACTGCTTAAAATAGCTCGAAGTAGGTATCCCTTTAAACAGTTAAGCTCAGGCCCAAACCACTACCAATCCTGGCTTTAATGTGACCTGCTGGGGAACCTCAATGGCTTTTACCATTCCCTTTGCCTTTTTTATTGTGTGAAATGGTCATTGACTTTGGGAGTTGGTTAGCTTTTTGTTTCTGCTGAGTCACTAATTTTGCATTTCTGTTCCCATGTCCCCAGGTGCCACTCCGCACAAAAGTTAAAAGTGCAATTCAGAAAACGCTGCGACCTGTCAAGTGGAGGCAACCATTTCCCTAGGAGAAGCCGGCTCCTGGCTTGCGCTTGATTCCTTCCTAGCTTCCTCCAAGCGAAGGCATCAAATCCGCTTTGCCAGGGAAGCGGCTCAGCACAGGAGTGGGGAATCTCTCAGCTGGCTGGTGAACGCCAAGCATTCTGGCGCCTGGCTGCCTGGGCTCATTGCTGACCCCCCTTCGCTAAGGACCCAAATCCCTACAGAACCAGCGCGGAATTACTTTCCATTCAGGGAGGCTGAAATCAGTGATTTGTGGCGTTCTCCTTTGCAGCGGTGTTTTCCTGTTGTGTTAAATGCCTCTCACTAAGTAATAGATGTGATTTATGTGGATGGCGGAGGGTTGTTCGGCGGACTCGGTGATTAATAGTGACTTCCATCGGCGGGCATCTCTCTGCCCCTCTTGCGTGATGTAAGATCAGACGTACCCTGCATTGAAAAGTCAAGACACACGAGCGCCTCGGTGGCGCTCACACACGCTCTCCGCACGCGCGCATCCGCACACCTTCCACATCCTGCTCCGGGCAGGGGAAGGAGGACTGTCTGGACTCACTGAGCCGAGAATTCCCAGTGACATTTGTAAATGACGCGACGACTCCATTCCGGGCTGTTAGCCGCCGCCGCCGCCGCCGCCGGGCCGAGGGTGTTTCGGAGCAGTCTGCAGCGCAGGCTTCCTCGGGCGACCACGATGTCCGAGTTTCTCCTCGCCATCCTCACTCTCTCAGGATTATTGCCTAGCGCCGAAGTGCTGACGGTGAGAGCCGACCAAGGTAAGGACCGCGACCCCGTGTTTTCTCCCCGATGCCTCACTCGGCTTCCTTGCCAGGTGATGCTGACAGATAAGTGAGTGTGAAACTTCAGTCCTGGCAACCCGCTCCCGGGACCGGCTGGCCACTGCGCTGGCCTCCTGGGGGTGAGGGATATTGTGGGGAGGGGGGTCTGAACCAGGCGCCAGAGTACTGAGCACCCCCCATATATTCTCCCTTGGCCGTTTACAGGTCCTGGTTTTCCGTGCCCCCCTACCTCTGCCCCACCCCCGGGGGTTGGACTTGTCTGTGGTTTCTGTCTGTGTATCCCAAGCGCTGCAGATGTTGGGTCAGAATTCGCTTTTCCTTGAGACTCCCTTCCGCGCTGGCTCTCAACTGAGGGCTTCTGGCTCTGGATTCTCAGCCTTAGACGCATCATTCCTCAACTTAGCCCCGGGTTAACTTCCAAAACCGGTGCATCTAAGGGTCTGGGGATTTGTCAGAGCCCATTCCAGCCTGCGCGTCTCTGTCGTCCTTTACAGGGCTGACTTGGATTAGATTTGGGTCACTTAGGGAGCGTCTGAGCGCAGGCACCTGCCTGGACTTGGTTTTTCTGATTAGGAAGGTCTGAGACCCAGCACCAGGGTACGTTGGTAGTCTGACCAAGCCCAGAGTGCCTGGCTCCAGCCTGGCGCTTTGCTCTTCTGTTCACCAAGCAGCTGGTGAATGGTAGTTCAGAGGAGAAGGGTTCTGGGAGCGTAGACAGGAGGTGGGCATCTTAAACAAGCATTCTGAAACTTTAGATCTGAAAACCCAGGTGTCCCCTCGCTAGTTGACTCATCTTGACAAAAAATACATGGGTTAAATAGGGAAAATCACAGAGGACGAACATTTAGACACTGCCACCAGGTTAACTAGTTAAAGGGAAATTAGAAGTGTCATAAATTCTGAACTGAGCTCACACCGATGTGCAGTTCAGCTTTTTAGCTTAATTGAAAAAGAGAAGAAAAGAAATGGAAACTAAATATCTACATGCCAATGCCAAGCAAATAGCCAAGGTCTCCCACTGAGGGATTCTGTCTGCTTATGTGAAGAAAATTATGAATTGTCCCCAAATTACTGTTTCATTATAGGGAAGCACAGATGGATGGTAGTGTTTCTGCTCTTCAACCTGCTCTTGGCATCTAGATTATAGTCTCTTAGCGACCTACACACATCATTTCCACGGGTGCACTGCTCTGAGTTCCTTTAGAAAATCTGGCAGTTACCAGTGATAATCTTTTAAATGTATCACTGCTGCCTAATCAGACAGCTTCTGAACTTGTTTAAGTTGCCTTGAAGTTGCTGCCCAATAGTCGAAACCGTGGATAAAATGGAAGCCCGGAGCTCTAGTAGCTAGCTCTAACTTGAAATGATAGTGGCTTTGATCTGCCATAGGCTCCTCTCAACCTTCCTCAGGAAGAGTGTTTGAAGTTGGGCTGGAGCAGACGAGCCAGATGCAGCTTTCGGGCCCAGTGTGCTGGCAAACACATGGATACTGGCAGATGGCTGCAACAGGGTTCTTCTGACGGGGTGCCCTGCCCCAGGAGTTTGACCTCCGTCAGAGCTCAGTCCTTGGGGTTTTGTGTGTGTTCCTTAGGTTAGTGCTGCTGCTCTCCTGAGGGGAATGGTTGAACACCTGAAGAGAATTTTGTGTACAATAAGAAGTTACGTAAAATCAGCCTTCTTTTAAGAGAGGAAATTATCCTAAAGGTTGATATTTCTTGTCAATTTAGTTCCATGAAGGAGAGGAACTTCTAAGATATATGCAGGTTACATGGAAAACAATTGTGAGTTTTCTTGGTTAATTTGAATGTTAATTGTCTGCTGAAAAATTATCAGGAGAAATACTTTGTCATAAAGCACATATAAAAATATTTGTAGATCAACACTTAACCACTGTTATATGTATTTAATCCAAAGCTCTCAAACTTGGAAACAATTGAAGTTGTCACAGATAGCTCTGAAAATTTGTAAAAAGAGAGGAGAAAGAGGAGAGAAAGAGAGAGAGAGAGAGAGAGAGAGAGAGAGAGAGAGGATCTTTTAAAAAGTTAATAAAGAGAGTGGAGCTGCATTATGACAAATGTCCCCCACTGAGATGTTGGCATGGAAACTTCAGACTAGAATGCAAGAAAGAGGTTAAGGAGATGAGACTTTCTTCAGACACTTGGCAATGGTCCTGGACCAATGGATCAGACCTGTGAAAACACGGGTGATTTTAGTAATGCATGAGGGAGCTTTATGCCCCAATCTGTGAAATCATTTTCAGGTTCTGCAGATACTTAGGGGTAATGGAGGCGTCTCACCCTGCCTTATGTAGGAAACGCTTGTGTTCTTCCCTATGCAAGTCTGTGACCAGAAGCTAAAACCTTTCATTAAATTAAAAAAGAAATACTTGCAGCTAACTGGTATGTTTAATGTTCAATCCATATACAGATACTTGTCCTTCAATTACATGTGGTTTGCCTAGTTTATATTGATTTTTATACAAAGTAATCTATATGTCATTTCTTATTAGATTTCATCATATCTGAAAAAGCAAATCTTTGTAATTTATTATTATTTTTATTTTTGAGAATTTCATTCATGAGCATTTTGTTTGCATTTTTCCATCCCTCCCAGTCCCCCTCCTTCTCCTATGCCCCACACAATTTCTTGCCTCTTCTTTGATTATCATTGTTACATACTCATAGTACATTTACAAATCTAAAGAAGTGGATAAATCAAATTCATTTAGAATCAACTAATTTGTCACTTAACAATGTCTTGCCATGTAAAAATGTTGTTTGATAAGGGTTAAGACTTAAAAGGAAACGTACTTTAAATTGTCACATTTTCTGAGAACAAACAGAGTGGGAGACCTAAAACTACTGTGCTTCAAAAGCTTGGGTCTGATAAGATGTGAAGACATATTCCAAATAATTAAGGTTCACCCTGCTATTGTCATTCTGTGTGTTTAGAACCATCTAAAGTTGACAGTCACATGTTTGCTAAAGTTCTCATCTTCTTTTCCCCTCAAAGAAGAATGTGCTGAAATTCACCTCGTTTTTGTATTTCACAAAATATGAAACTTTCGTGTTGACTAAATCTCTAAACTTTGACTTTCCTTCTGCCTCTCTCTCCAAATTTAAATTAAAATTAATTGGTAGTAAAAAGGAAGATAATAGAAAACAAAAGAAAAAATTAAACATATGTTGAATTAATAAGAAAATTGTATAAAAACAATAAATAGAGAAAAAGGACAAGTATTCTCCGAATAAGATATTAACTCACCTTAAAATAATTTCTTAAATACTTTCTCATCTAATTTTGTATAAATATTCTATGAAAATACTTGCAGTATAAGAGTAATTTAAAGCAACTTGGACCAGTGTAGCTCTGGATACAATTACAGTAGTATGGATAGAAAGACAGATGGGACTATTACAGAAAACTTATATGCTAACTACTCTGGAATTATTAAGATAGGAGTTATTTTTAAGTGAATGTAAAAGAAACCTTAGAGTAGTTTCTGGGTGGTATCATTAACGTTTTATAAGAAATGAAGTGACCCTTTCTAAATGCTTCTTATCAGGCAAGGTAGAGATATACAGACATTTTAGTTTGCAAGAGTATTGGAATCAGAATATTAGCTACTCATTAGTGGTCTTGTCAATGCTTGTCAGAGCCTAGACCACATCACAAAGATAAGCGCAATGTAAAATTACCTGGAGTAAATATGATCTGACTTCCAACAATAATTGCAGTGCTTCTGGATCTCTATATGTTCCTTCTATTCCATGCCTTAATATGACCTTTATCATATTAATATTATTGTGCTTATGCTTCTGTAGTTCATTTTTACCTCTTATGTGAAATGCACCCCTATCTTCAACTCCTTTCTTGTTATAAGGATTCTGTGTAGTCAAAAGTACCAGTCAGACACAGGAGAGATGGCTCCATCTTCTATGGCTGTCTGTCAAAACAATACTTGTACAAAGGAAACGCTTGTCTTCATTCTGGATTGATGCATTCAAAGAAAGTAGAATTAATCCTTAAAGTTAAACCTGCTTGTACCAACACGATGTCACTAGTCATACTAATGTAATAGCAAGTAGAAGTCATGTTAAATTTATGTTTATATATCTTTCTAAAATGGCAACATGGATGCAAAGACTATAAAATACCACTATAGTTTACAATCAGAGACATTCTTTATTAATAAAGCTTTCATTTTCGTAACTGAAGATAAAATGTGTCTATTTTTCTGAGCACTGCTTCTCTAAGGAAAAAACAAAAAAGTGAAATGAAAAAGTTGTTGAAATATTTCTTGACCTGCAGCTAACAGTGTTCTAATGAGTTTCCATATGGTCAATATTTTGTTTTTACACAATCTGAAATTAGAGTAAATAAATGTCAGGTGCATTTGCCCTCTTTCTATTTTGTGAAGCAGGAACTAAACCCGAGTCTTAAGTGTTAAACTGGTGCTCTACCACTGAGCTGCACTCCAGCCCTGTACATTTGCCTGTGATATGCCTGTGTGGAGAATATTTCTCAGGCTTACTGTGTCACATGATTTGTGGTGGCTAGAATAGTAATGAAAAGTGAAAGCAGTTTCACAGTGCCAAGCCTGAATTCCATCTATAGAGCAGGCCTCAAATTCAACTCAAAAGTGATTGGTCACCTCTATAAGCCTCATACCGTTATTGCACCAGTAGGCACATCTTGCCTGGCAGGTTAGCATTATAGCATGCAGGGTTGGCTGCAGGGATACCATTGATGTCTTTTGTCCCCAGGTAGTCTGTATAGCACTTTATAGCACTGTGAATGCTGTGGGTCACAGGTCCTAGGGAGGAACGTAGTTCTTTTATTTTCCTAAATGACATGTTGACAAATTGCCTCCTAAACACTTATGTTTATATGCATAAGATTAGTGCTGCCCTCAGCCTTGGCCAAAGAAACTTTTCTTTGCAGTGGTCAGCAGTTAAAGCATAGATAGACCATAA